GTTATTTGATGGAATTATTTGGGGTTATTTGATGGAATTATTTGAGGTTATTCTGTGCTCCCAGGTTGCTCCATGAGCACATGCAAGGTGAATATTTGGGTTTTATTCTCTGGGGTACATTTGGGGTTATTCCATGGAGTTATTTGGGGTTATTCCATGGAGTTATTTGGGGTTATTCCATGGAGTTATTTGGGGTTATTCCATGGAGTTATTTGGGGTTATTCCATGGAATTATTTGGGGTTATTCCCTGGGATTATTTGGTGTTATTCCATGGAATTATTTGGGGTTATTCCATGCTCCCATGTTGCTCCATGAGCACATGCTAGGTGAATATTTGGGATTTATTCCCTGGTGTATATTTGGGGTTATTCCATGGAATTATTTGGGGTTGTTCCATGGAATTATTTGGGGTTGTTCCATGGAGTTATTTGGGGTTGTTCCATGGAGTTATTTGGGATTATTCCATGGAGTTATTTGGGGTTATTCCATGGAATTATTTGGGGTTATTCCATGCTCCCATGTTGCTCCATGAGGATATGCAAGGTGAATATTTGGGATTTATTCCTTGGGGTATATTTGGGGTTATTCCATGAAATTTTTTGGGATTATTCCATGAGCACATCCCTGGAGTTTATTTGGGGGTTATTCCTTGGAGTTATTTGGGGCTATTCCGTGGAATTATTTGGGGTTGTTCCATGACCACATACCTGGAGTTTATTTGGGGTTATTCCATGCTCCCATGTTGCTCCATGAGCACATGCAAGGTGAATATTTGGGATTTATTCCCTGGGGTATATTTGGGGGTATTCCATGGAGTTATTTGGGTTTATTCCATGGAGTTATTTGGGATTATTCCATGGGGTTATTTGGGGTTATTCCATGGAATTATTTGGGGTTATTCCATGCTCCCATGTTGCTCCATGAGGACATGCTAGGTGAATATTTGGGATTTATTCCTTGGGGTATATTTGGGGTTATTCCATGGAATTATTTGGGGTTGTTCCATGACCGCATACCTGGAGTTTATTTGGGGTTATTCCATGCTCCCAGGTTGCTCCATGAGCATATACTAGGTGTATATTTGGGGTTATTCCCTGGTGTATATTTGGAGTTATTCCATGAAGTTATTTGGGGTTATTCCCTGGGGTACATTTGGTGTTATTCCATGGAGTTATTTGGGGTTATTCCATGCTTCCAGGTTGCTCCATGAGCACATGCAAGGTGAATATTTGGGATTTATTCCCTGGTGTATATTTGGGGTTATTCCATGGAGTTATTTGGGGTTATTCCATGGAGTTATTTGGGATTATTCCATGGAGTTATTTGGGGTTATTCCATGGAGTTTTTTGGGGTTGTTCCATGCTCCCAGGTTGCTCCCTAGGCACATCCCAGGTGTGTATTTGGGATTTTTCCATGTTCCCTCTGGAGTTCCTTGGCACCCCTGATCCCAAAGTTCCCCCAAGTCCCTGAGCAGATAACACAGGGATGTTTCACTGCTGATCCCACAGATCCCACCCCTCCTCATTCCAGTGGAATTCTGGAAATGGAGGGAGCCCTAATTAGCTAAATCTGCCTTGGTTGCCATGGGAACTCAGGTCTGTGGCAAGGAGCTTTAATTCCAAGATTGCACCAGAGCTCCTGTTTAAAACTCCCCAAAAACTCAGAGATTTAGCACCAGGAGGAGCCTGGAAGTAAAAGAATTGCAATAAAATAATTGAAGTGAAAAGTTGAAATAATTAAAATATTTGAAATAAATAATTGAAATTTTAAAATGGAAAGAAATATTTGAAATAAGTAATTGAAATTTTAAAATGGAAAGAAATATTTGAAAGAAGTAATGGAAATTTTAAAATGGAAAGAAA